TTTTTAAACCATCGTTTTTTAGGTTTTGATCAAATCAATCAATCGTATTATTATTATTATTGTTTTTCATATGGAAGACATTATTTTCCAAATCAATTTTTTTTCTCTTTGATTTTATTGATTTTTCGCGTGTTTTTGGATGAATTTTGAACAGGGTTTCCGTTGAAAACTTTGATTTCATTTTTTTTTTGCTTTGTTTTTCGTTGAAAAATTATTCCAAAATGATAATGGATCAATCAGCAGCAACAAAATCTGCCATTATGGTAATGATGTTTGTCGAATCGAAACAGCCGCAATCAAATTCATCCACATCCATATCATCATCCGCATCTTCTTCTTCTTCGGCATCATCATATGATTCGCATTTCAATAATCCTCCGATGGGAAATATTCCAAAATTTCACCTATATCAATGTAAGTTTCAAAGATGAAAAAAAAAATTTCATTCAAAAAAAACAAAACAAAATTTTTTTTTTACAAACCTTTATGGTACGTTAGTTGTTATAAAATACAAACATCCTGGATTCATTTATTTTTCGGTAATAAAAATTTTACCCTAAAACAAGTGCAACTGTCACCTGTGTGTGTGTGTTTGATTACAAAGATTGTAAATATATTTCGATACGGCTGACAGACAGACAGGTAATCATAATTTATGATATCCACGTACTTTGTTTGATTATCATCATCATCATCATCATCATGTGTGTGTGTTTTTACACATCAAAAGATCATGAATACAGGAAAAAAAAGTGTTATTACCTGGAAAAACTGAGGGGAAAAAAAAGAAAGAGAAATCAATTTTTTTTTCTTTTGGAAAATCTATTTCCGTTGATTCGAATCAATCGATTTGGGATTTTGATGATACAAAAATTCTGTTTAACAACACAAAGGCTACGATGAATTTTTCTTGATAAAATTTTTCCATTTGCAAAGTCATCATCGTTGATTAATTCTTGGTTATTTTTTTCTGTCAAAAAAGTTTTAGATTTCAAAAAAAAAAAAAATTCATTTTTTGTCAAAAAACTTGACTTGAAAAATAGAAAAATCATCATCATCATCATAAAACACTAAAAATAGATATGTACTG